AGACTAAATATAACAAAATCAAAATTCTTTTATGCTTTTTTATGACTATTATATTTTCAAGTAACATTTTCTTATAAAGAATTAATACTTCAAATTACAAAAGATATATACATTATTAAAATGAATTTATTACTCTTTTTTACCCACTTTTTTTTCGTTTGACAGTTGCACACACTTCTACCTACCCAACCACCCCAATACAAATACCCCTCCCAACACATTACTTCCTCCCCCTCACCCCCGCACATGCACCCTCCCTACACACAACACACACCTATTAAAGTACTAACAATTCCACAAAAAAAAAAACTATTCTATAAACTTGTCCCAATATATGTATAACAAACTTCAAAAAATACTTCATTAATAACCTAACAAAAAAAAGAAAAAATGTTAGTGTTTGTATATGTGTTACTTTCTTGATTTTGTTTTATACAATAATGTTTGACTTGATAAGGAATTTTGGAGAGATTTTCCTTTTAAAATTTGGGGACTTAAATATGATATGGTATTTTTGTGATTATATAAAAAAGATACTTATATATCCAATTGAGTTTGGACGTAATCTATCAAAAATATACTTAGTTCAAACTCTCAAAACAAAATTAACCGTGGGAAGTTTGTAATAAGGGTTATTGATGTTTACGTACATTATTAGTTTAAAATTTTTTATCTTTAATACATTATGTTTTCATAATTATATTCTAAAAACATAAAACTTCTTTTGTTTAAAAAAGAATAGTGTCCTTTCCGTTTTAGTCTGTTTAAAAAAGAATGATCTCTTTCTTTTGGACAATATTTTAATTTCATCTTTCCACGCGACAGGTTTAAGACTACAAGATCAAAAAATAATTTTTGTACATTTTGAAGGAAACTGAATTTGATTGCACAATTGAATTATGGAGGATGAAGCAATCACAATTTTATTATTGATCAGTTCAACCATAATGTATTACTCTCTACATATATATACACATGTATTAAGTGACTTATTTACAAGAAAACCATCTTCTAGAATCTTCTTAATATATCCTAACTAACTATCAACTAACTATCAACTAACTATTAACTAACTATCAACTAATCTAGTTAATTATTTACAATCTCTAATAGCCCCCTTCAAGCTAGAAGATATGAAGATGTTCTTCATTCCTAGCTTGGAGATAAGATGAAAATGTTGATGTTTGCTTAGTCCTTTAGTTAAGATATCAGCTGGCTGTTCAAATGAGCATAAGTATTGTAAGACAACAAGACCTTTTGACACATTTTCTCTAATAAAATGACAATCAATATCAATATTTTTGGTTCTCTCATGGAACACTGGATTAGCAGCAATCTGAATAGCTGCTTTGCTATCACAATGCAGTGAAACAGGTAACACCAATGGTACATCCAATGTCTTGAACAAACCAATGATCCAAGTAATCTCTGCAACAGTGGAGGCCAGACTCCTGTACTCTGCTTCAGCAGAGCTTCTAGAAATAGTAGACTGCTTCTTGGATTTCCAAGATATTGGAGAATCTCCATACTTGATTATGTAACCAGTAATTGATCTTCTAGAATTTAACACATGATCCCCAATCAGCATCACAATATGCCTGAAGAGACTCTGTGGAGTTGGATTGTGTTGTCAATAATATCCCAAATCCTGGTGATTGCTTAACATATTTCACTACTCTGATGGCAGCATTCATATGAGAAACTTTAGGAGCCTGCATGAATTGGCTGAGACTTTGAACTGCATAAGATATATCTGGCCTGGTGGGAGTAAGATATAGTAGCCTCCCAACTAATCTTTGATATTCACCAGGATCTAACAAGAGTGAATCAGATGTATCTCCAACTAAATCATCAAACTCAGGTGTAGTAAGTTTCAGATTTAATTATGCAGGTGTAGACATAGGTTTAGAACTCCCTAACCCCAAATCTGAAATCAATTCTAATGCATATTTCCTTTGGTGCATTAATATTCCTTCTGAATTTCTAGCAAATTCGATGCCTAGAAAAAATCTAAGATCTCCAAGATCCTTTATTCTAAAATGATCCTTTAGAACCTGCTTTGTTTCCTCTATCAGTTGGCAACTGCTTCCTGTCACAAGCAAATCATCCACGTATATAAGAACAACTACAATGTCATTTCCAACTTTCTTGGTCATGAGAGAATAATCAAGATGACTTTGTTGGAAACCTGCTTCAATCAAGGCATTTGTTAGCTTAACATTCCACTGTCTTGAGGCTTGCTTTAAGCCCATAAAGAGACTTAATCAGTTTGCATACCAGACCTTGACCTTTTCTTTTCTCATCAGCTTGAAATCCCTGAGGTAATTGCATATATACTTCTTCCATTAAATCTCCTTGTAGAAAAGCATTATAAACATCCATTTGTTGAACATTCCACCCTTTTGCTGCTGCTACAGATAACATTGTTCTCACTGTCACCATTTTAACAACAGGTGAGAAGGTTTCATGATAATCTAATCCTTCCTTTTGATTATAACCCTTAGCTACCAACCTAGCTTTGAACCTTTCAACCTGTCCATCAGCTTTGTACTTGATCTTATACACCCATTTACAACCCATGGCCTTTTTTCCAATAGGTAATTCAACAAGTTCCCATGTCTTATTGTCTTCAAGTGCCTTAATCTCCTCTTTCATAGCTTGAACCCGCCTTTCATCTTTCATAGCCTGATGATAAGTACTTGGTTCTTTCTCCATTGAAGAGTTGGCAATATAGCATCGATATGACCTTGAAAGACCACTATAATCAATGTTATCTGATATAGAGTACAAGCAATTTGACTGGTGTTTAGATTTCTCTGATTTTGTTAGAACAAAATCTTGCTGCCATAATGGAGCCTTGCTTGATCTGCTGGACCTCCTCTGTGTCATTACAACATGATTATCAATGTGATTTCCTTCTTCTCCTGGCACATTATAGGTAGAAGCAGTCTCTAATGCAGGTAAAAGAGCTGTGTAATCTTCAACAGCATTGGCATTCATAGAAATTTCTGCTTGGCTATCTTCCATAAACTCCAAGTTAGTATCATGCAAAACATCTGTAGAATGAGACTGCAAAACATCTGTAGAATCAGACTGAAAAGGAAAAATATTTTCAGTGAAGATCACATCTCGACTGATAAAGAAAATATGATGTTCAAGATCATACAATTTGTAGCCTTTCTGCGTAGTTCCATATCCCATCAAGACAGATTTAGTTGCTCTTGCACCAAACTTATCTATCTTTTGTGTATTTGTAGCATAACATAGACACCCTATGATTCTCATTTATGCTATATCAGGTTGTTTTCCAAATAGTACCTCAAAAGGAGATACATTATGCAAAACAGATAAAGGAATTCTATTGATAATGTGCACAGCTGTTAATATGCACTCTCCCCATAATCTAATAGGTATGTGTCCTTGAAATCTGATTGCTCTAGCCGTTTCCAAGATGTGTCTATGTTTTCTTTCCACCACACCATTCTGTTGAGGTGTGTGTGGACAAGAACTCTGATGTATGATTCCATGATTAGTGAACAAATCAACACATTGAGAATTGAAGAACTCCCCTCCATTATCTGATCTCACAGCCTTAATTTGTATATCAAACTGAGTTTTAACCATCAAAATAAATTGTCTAAGTATAGTAGAAACATTTGACTTGAGATGAAGCAAGAATACCCAAGTCCATCTGGAATGATCATCAACTAATGTAAGGAAAAATCTCATGTTATTATGTGTAGAGACTTTATAAGGCCCCCATACATCCATGTGAATTAGATCAAAACATCTAGTACTTCTATTGCTACTAGCATGAAATGGAAGTCGAATTTGTCTTGCTAATGGACATACATCACAATGACTCATGACAGAACTCTTATGGAGCTTAAGCATACTGATTTTTCTAATCACATTCAAAGGCACATGGCCTAATCTTTGATGCCACAATACTTCATCCTCACATCCTCTTGCTGCAACAAATGACTTTGATCTATGTGAAAATCGATCTTGATTCTTCAACATGTACAGTCCATCTTCCTCTTCACCAATCTCCTTCACTTTCCCAGTGAAGAGATCCTGAATGAAGAAGAAATCAGGATAAAATACAATACAACAATTCAATTCCTTAGTCAGCTTTGACACTGATAAGAGATTGAACTTAAAATCAGGTGCACATAAAACATCTTCTATAACATCACCTCCTTTAAGTTGAGAACTGCCTGAATTGGTAATGAGTGTTGTGTCACCATTAGCTAACTGAACCCTTCCTGGATTTTTTACTGAAGATCCAGGTTTCAATAAGGTAAGATCTCTAACCATGTGATTAGATGCTCCACTATCCACTATCCAATCTGAAGAACAATTAGCTGCAGCATTACAAAAAGAAGTACCTGCAAATGTACCTGCCATATGTGCATTAATCTCATTCATGTTGTGTTTCTTCAGCATTTGTAATATCTGATTATATTGATTTGGCGTGAAGTAAGAAACAGGTCCAACTCCTCGACTTGTACTTGGTCCAAATTGAGATTCAACTTCAGATCTCTGTTGTCCTTGCATTTGTGAAATCCCTTCTGCTGTTTGAAGCTTGTACAATATTAACTCTTTTCTTTCCTTTCCAATCTGAAGGATATCCAATTAATTGAAAACATATATCCTTTGTATGACCCTGCATATTACAATGAGTACAGTGCTTTAATTTGTTACAATCTTCTCTGGTATGTCCTCTCATTTCACAATGATCACAATAAGAACCACCTCCTCTTTGTTGACGACTAGATCCATAACTTCTACCTCCTTTTCCTCTAGAACCTGATCCTCCAAATTGATAACTACCTGACTTATTTGTCAATAATGCAGTAGGATCAGTGATGCCTCCACCAGAATATTCACCACTGAGTTCACGTTGACTCTCATCTTGTACAATCATGGCATAACATTGATTAACACTGGGTGGTGGATTTAGCATAAGTATCTGGCTTCTAGCTTGTGCATAGCTTTCATTCAAACCCCATAAGAAACTGTAAAAACTTCTGCCTATCCATACTATCAGAATAATCCTTCGATTTAACACATTCGCAAGATGGAGGAGGAACTATTGAATCGAATTCATCCCAAAGGTCTTTCATCTTTGAATAATAAACTGAAACAGGGGAAATACCTTGAGTATGTGTAACTATGGCTTTGTGAAGATGAAAAATTCTGGACATATTGACTTTATCAAATCGTTCCTGCAGATCTAACCAAACTTGAGCTGCATTTGATCGAAAAAGAATTTCATTGACCAAATCCTTGCTAACATTGCTCATAATCCATGACAGGACCATTGCATTAAATCTGTCCCACTGTTTCTTCTCAATTTCAGTCGTGAAACCATCTCTTTGTATGCTGCCATCTATGAATCCTAACTTGTTCTTCGTGAGCAAATTCAATTGCATCGCCCGACTCCATAACGTATAATTCTCCATTCCAGTAAGCTGTATCCCAATTTGCACTGCCCCTGGTACATCGGAAGATCCCAGAAACAGAGGATGATCATGATCTATCTTCTTCGCCATTGATCATCAACTGTAAGCTACAGAATTGAACAGAATTTAACAGATCTCAATCCCTAAGCTCTGATATCATGAAGGAAACTGAATCTGATTGCACAATTGAATTATGGAGGAAGAAGCAATCACAATTTTATTATTGATCAGTTCAACCACAATGTATTACTCTTTACATATATATACACATGTATTAAGTGACTTATTTACAAGAAAACCATCTTCTAGAATCTTCTCAATATATCCTAACTAACTATCAACTAACTATCAACTAAATATTAACTAACTATCAACTAATCTAGTTAATTATTTACAATCTCTAATACATTTGACCTAACTTTAATTTAGGACCACAAAATTCAAGTCTTTTTATATTCTTAAACTCTGTGTTAAATCAAAACAGATTATTTTTTATGAAACGATGAGAGTAACTTGTCTATTAATTTAATTCATCGGCAATATGCTTGTCAGAAGTAGCTTGGTAGAACCTATTTGTCTGTCTTTTTGTGTTTTTTTTTAACAATTTTGGACTGAAGTTTGTAAGTGAAAAATAATATGGATAATAGAGTGAATGATATTCGTGAAGTTTTTTTTTCTTTTCTTTTTAATGGTCATGAAGTTGAAAATTTTTATTTTTATTCTGGTTAATGCTTATGTATAGAGAAAATGGCAAAAATGATTTTTTTTTTATCGGATGTACCCGAAGGGATGCAAAAATGGTTTTGAATGTAGGTTTAAAATAGTTTCTTACATATATATTGGATAATTTAAATAGTTAACGCTTTTAGTTTCGTCAAATATTTATCCGTTAAATTTACTGAATACTATAAAGAGAAATTAATGAAAACTCACTTTTAGAGTACATTTTTTGGTAGTTTTTGGAATTTTTTAAATATCTATTTCTAGGGTGTAATTAAATTTTATAGAATTTTTATATATCTCAAGTGTTTAATACAATTTTTCTGTTTAATATTTTAGGATTTGATAGAATTGTTTTGATGTTTATGACTAAATTTGTTTCCTTTTGTTATTGTCAAATAATGAATATAAATTATTAAATATTTGACAGAGATTAAAAATATTATATTTTATGGAATTTAAAAGATCAAAATTGTTGATTGCTTACTTGACAAACTATTTAGAATCTAATCTCCAACATGGAAGGGACCATTTTTGAGATTTTCTTCTTATGTGTACCTAATTATTCCCCTGTTAAAAGTGCTTCTTCATATACATTTTTTAATGAAAGACAAGAAAATAATATTAAATTAAACTTGTATTATTTATGAATAAATATGAATTATATATGTCTTATATATTATTTTGGTTTGTATCACTAAGAACATGAGTGATGTTTGCAATATGTATTACAAATGTATTGTGCATATGTTATAAATGTATTACAAATGTGTTACTTAAATTATTTTTCTTGATATCACTAAAAAAAGAGTGAAGTTTGTAATATATATTATAAAAGGTATTGTTCGTGATTTTAATACAATTTTAATACAATTATGAAAAATATCTAATACAACTTTAATACAATCGCGATACAGCTCCATTTATATAACATTTTTCAAGTTTCAATCTAATCTTTCTCCTACAATCAATTATAAACTTAACCAAGTCCTCTTAAAATTAAGATATAAATTCCAAACGATATTTTTTTAATTATTTGTCAGAATAATCTATCCAAACTAATCACAAATTCGTAAAATTCAAATAATGAATTCAAAATTCGAAATATTATAATGACCATCAATTAAAACTGAACTCTTGTTACTATAATTTTAAAGATTTAAAATTTCTATTGAGAACATGATTTTGTACAAATATTTGATTTTTAATATTCCTCTTCTCTTCATGTTTTGAGTAAAAATAATAAAATATGAGGAAAAAATTATTTAAATATAGTTATTTAAATGGAGATCTCATCTCAAAGAAGAAAAAGAATAAAATAAAATAAAATAGGGGGAAAGATAATTAATGAGAGAGAGAGACAAAGAATAAAAAGAAAGGGAGGACAAGGAGAAAAAAAGATAGAGAAAGAGGCGGTACAATTTCTTATTTTAAAAAAATATATTTTTAGTTAGAAAAATTATGTTGCTATAGATGGTAAATATTTTTATAATATAGCATGTATATGTGATTTACCCTTCAAAATAAGCCAACATTTTTAAACTTTATCAAATTATTCTTGCTAATGATGTAGGGAAAAAAATGGAAACTTTTACATATAACCACTTAAAAATAATTAATTACTCTCCATTGCTATAGTTTGATAATTACAAATCGTAGCTACATATTATTTTGAGTATAGAGGCGAGCGAGACTGGGAGAGAGAGAGAGGGAGAAAAGAGCGGGAGAAAGGTGAATTGTATATGTATATTGGTTAGATAATTGTATATTATGCACATGTAATTGTATATATAGCAAGAGAAATTGGGAGAGGAAAGAGAGAGGCGAGCGAGACTGGGAGAGGGAGGAGTGAGGCGAGCGAGATCGAGAGAGGGAGGAGAGAGGAGAGAGAGGGCAGAGAATGGGAGAGAGGTGAATTTATATGTATATAATTGTATATAATTGTACATTATACATATACATTTATATAAATAACAAGCAAGGTTGGGAGAGGGAGGAGAGAGGCGAGCAAGATTGAGAGAGGGAGGAGAGAAGCCAGTGAGAGAGGGCAGAGATTGGGAGAGAGGTGAATTGTATATGAATATAGGCTAAAAATTTTATATTATATATATTTATTTGTATATCATGGGTGAATTATACATATACAAACATTACTAATTATACAAACTCGAAGTCAGCTCACGTAATTAATATATAATGTTAGTCGTGAGTGGTAAATATAGGAAACTATAGCTATGATGAGTAATTAAATAGTATAAGTTTGCTTATCCGCGTAATTTTCCCAAAAAAATAGGGGAATACTTAAAAGAGAATGTGAGATAAAAAGATATAAAAAAAAATTAAAAGGTTGAAATTGGGGGACATAAGGAAAATAGGGGTGTAGAAAATTAAATCGAAAAATTGAATCAAATTGTAAATCGAGTCAAATCAGAAATAAATTTGATTTATGATTTGGTTTGACTTAAGTTGGAATTGGAAAAAAAATCTCAACTATACTTGAATTGGATTGGTTTTAATTAAAATTATCAATTTGAGACCAAACCAACCCGACAATATATATATATATATTATATATATATATATATATATATATATATATATTTGAAATTTATTTTATACATAAAAGTATTTATTTTGATATAATTTCTAAATGTTTTTAATATTTTTATCTCTTAACATATTATTTAAAGTTTTTGGAGATTTAAAATTCAAAATTGTCCGATAAAGGTTATACTCCACGGATATTAGTAACTCTAATAAAGTTCAAGTCAAAATCAAACCAATACTAATGTTAACAATAATAATTTAAAAAAAAAACTAAATCAGTACTAAGAATGAAAATAAAATCAAATATTTATTCTTTAGTTTTACATTTTTTTAGTCATTTAAAGTTAACCACGTAATTAATACTTATTAGACTTATTTTAGTACGATTTAGTACTTTTAAATTATGATCATTATCATTATGACTTATAAATTTGCAATATTTATTTTATACGATCTCATTATTATTTTGTGTTGAATATTTATTAGGGAAACTTTCACATATAACTACTTAAAAATAATTAATTACTCTCCATAGCTATAGTTTGATAATGTCACGACCCAAAACGAGCCGTGAGTGGCATCCACACTTATCCCCTTATGTGAGCGAACCAACCAATCTAACCCCAACGTTTTCAAACATAATAAACAGAATATAATGCAGAAGACTTAAAACTCATTAACGAAATCAATAATTAACTTCTAAAACTCAAAACTGATCATTATCCCCAAAATTTGGAAGTCATCATCACAAGAACATCTATCCTCAAATTACTAAATTTAAGAATGTCTAGGAAGCTAAAACAAATACAAGAGATAGTCCATGTCCGAACTTCAAGGACATCAAGACATGAATGAGAGAGAATCCAATCCGAGCTAGGAACAATAGCTCACCATGAAATCTGACGTGGTGAAGAATGGCTAGAGTTGTTGTTGAGATGAAGACGACGGTACGTTTACTGCACTCCACAAATAACAAAGAGAAAAACATACAAGGAGGGGTCAGTACAAAACACGAGTACTGAGTAGATATCATCGGCCAACTCAAAATAGAAAGTAATATATATCAGATAATATCATAAAATCAACTACAACACTCAACAGGTAGCAGCAAACAGTACAAAAATCATTGATAATAACGCCAAGTACACCCATGAGGCCTCAAGCCTCCATACCATACTCATTTGGGAAATAGGTTCATTATTTTGAGTATATTAACATAATTCAAGATTCATTCTCTTTACTATCCTGGTGTCGGAACGTGACACTCCGATCCTCCTCATACTATCTTTGTGTCGGAACGTGACACCCGATCTATTAATACTATCCTGGTGCCGGAACGTGACACTCCGATCCTCCTAATACTATCCTGGTGTCGGAACGTGACACCCGATCCATTAATACTATCCTGGTGACGGAACATGACACCCGATCCATTAATATTATCCTGGTGCCGGAACGTGACACCCGATCCATTAATACTATCCTGGTGCCGGAACGTGACACCCGATCCACTTATACT